TATGGTAAAACCAAGATTTTTGTTCATGTCTATCTAATAATTCACCATATCGGTTTGCTTCAAAAACTTTCAACTGTACTTGTAGGAAATTTTCTGAGTTGCAACTTTGCAGTAGACCACTTTTTGATTAAATGCAAGGATCGAAAGTTATCAATGGTTCAATGCACTGATGTCTTATGATCATGCTCAATCAACTGCTCAGCAGGCAACATAGGTGTTTCTGGGGCGTTGAATAGGACACAAAAATCATGGCTACTATGCCACACTGCAAAATACAGTGTTGCCTACAGAGCAGCTGCTTGATCATGTCATAAGTTTACCAATCTCTTAAATAATTAATAACATTTTCCTGTCTCGTTTTACATAGAAACGATCTTGAGCAAACTTGTAGCGGAGAAAATTTTCTATAAGAATGGATATCGAACTGTCTCGCAGCTCAATATGGAAAAATACTAGAAGGCAATGAACAAAAAGTTGAAATTTCCCATAGTAATTTACATGTAAACTTCAAATGGCTTGTGCGAAGTCTGTTTCTAACCAAATGAGTTGTAACTTTGGGAGGCTAATCAAGACCCGATTTGAAACCATTTAAGCACTGTGGAGCGAAAAAGTCAAATTTTGCATCAGTCTACTCCCCATCCTCCTTAATGATGAGGCCGATTGGCATCATCCCTGCTATGACACAGACGGCCTCCCTCGAGATGGTGCGGTATGCACTGGCCACACTCAAGCACATTAGCCTGTGTATACTCTCTAATTTCCGCCTGTGACAGTCGATATCCAGTACCGCAGCCCACGCAGGGCCTCCGTATCTGAGGATAGATACTACGACCCCGGTGAGAAGCCTGCGCTTACTGGCACTCACCGCCGAGCTGTTGGACATCATGCGGGATCGAGACGGCTAATACATAGGTGTAACAGTCGGAAGAAGTGTTAGTTTGTTTACTTAAATGAACCATGCCCATTTTGTTATGGCATGTTTGCTATAAGAAATGCGCCTCGTGTTTATTAGCGAATTTCACATCAAAGATTGATTAATTGAGTAGGAAATCAGTTTGGCACGGCATTTGTGACCAGCATACACCTTCCGGTAGTATGAAACAGGTCAAAAACTGTTCAAATCCGCAGATAAAAAATTTTGTTTTGAATTTCTGTATAGCAAAATAGTGAACTTTTCGTGAACATTAACGGCAAAGAACTCACCAACACTGGGAGACCGTGAGTTCCTGCCCACCTGTCATAAAACCGTCTTGATGCGGGATAATGCCCCCACAGCCGTAGACGCTCTCTTGCAGGCGTACTCAACGTGACAGCCGAAGCCAGGCATGGAAAATCATTTACATTCATTTCATGCATTCATTTACTTTCATTTGCCTCTAACTTTTTCCCTCAACAGCATTCCGCAAAATGATGTATAGTGCTTTAGTAGGTTTTGTTATTAGCTACAACAACAATTAGCTTCAAATCTGTATCTCTTATGCATCACGTATTAGAGCGGGCAGAACTCGTTACTGTTTTTCAGTGAATGTAAAATACATTCACTGAAAAACAGTAGTGGATTCTGTTTGCTCTGGTTCGTCATGCATAAGACATACGGATTTGAGTTCTTAACAAAAGTTGTAGCTAATAACAAAACCTACCCAAGATGCATACATCATTTTGCGGAATTCTGTTGAAGAAAAAATTTAGGGGCAAATGTATGTAAATGAATGCACGAAATGAATGCAAATGATTTTCCATGCCTGGCTGAAGCAGATCTTATCATCGAGCATAAACCCCAGGAGTTTCAGAGAGCGCACGGAACTAATTGTGTCCTCTGTCAACGTCGCATGCTGCACCGACATGCAATTGTTGACTACGACCAACTCCGTCTTGTGGTGGGCAAGCTCCAGTTTCCTCGATCTCATCCATTCCTCCACAAGTTTAACGGAGTAAGCCGCTGTCAGCTCTACCTCTTCGAGGGATTCCCCGTAGACTACCAGCGTGACATCGTCGGTAAAACCAACAATTTTCACGCCTACTGGGAATCTTATCCTCAGCACTCCATCGTACATGACGTTCCATAAAACCGGGGCCAGGATGGAGCCTTGTGGCACTTCTGCGGTGACTCTAACGCATTTTTCGACATCTTCTGTGTCATACATCAACACAGGATTATCCAGAATCTTGTACAGTCCACCGGGGACTCGGAGTTGGTGTAGCGAGCGGGCTATCGCCCCCAGCACGCGCTGTTGAACGCGTTCTTCACGTCTAAAGCTACCACCGCACAGTAACTAATGCTCCTTAGTTTCCGATGGACTCTGCCGTCACGGATGGCGTTCACCGTAGATCTGCCCTTGCGGAACCCGTACTGGCTGATTGACAGGCCTGTTGAGGATGACTCTCTCAAGCAGTTTGCCAGTGGTGTCCAGCAAACAGATGGGCCTGTATGCTAACGGGTCCCCAGGGGGTTTCCCTGACTTCGAGAGAAGCACCAGCCTCTACCGCTTCCACGCATCTGGCAAGATGCCTTCGTCCAGACAGGTCTGAAATACAGACCTGAACATGTCTGTATTTTCGGCAACGGCCGCTTTCAAAGCCACAATCGGGATTCCATCCGGGCCCGGGGCCTTGTCCAGCACCAGTGACTTGGCAATGTCGATTAGTTCACTGTTTGTCACTCTAGACTCTTGGCACTTTGGAATAAGCTTTCGAAGCACGCGCGCTTGCGTCTGGCGATCTCTTTGTTGAGGGCCGCCTTAGCCGCTCGAAGAGCGACGCGGCGTTTTTTTCTCGAGTTTCGGCCTACGAGCCCGTTGCATCCTCCTTCTCACCTGGAGGCAAGACGCCCTGAGGATAGCAATCGACTCGCTTCACCAGTTGTAAGTTGCGGCTTACCTGTCAGCCTATAGCTGGCCCGATTTACCCCAGCGGGGCGGCTACGAGCAGAGTACTTCCCCAAAGACGTTCGGATTTGGATGGATTGATGAACAAAAAGAGAAAAAAAATTTGCAATTCAAGACGTCTATTATTCTCTAACCTTTCCCTTTTCTCCTCGTTGTCCTCGGTGTCACTCGGTGGGGCCCTTCGACGATAGCGGGGACGGTTGCTGTTCGTACCGAGGGGGGCGACACATCTAAATCTCAATTCTAGATGCTCAAAAAATCTCACTCTAGCGAATCAATCTTCGTAAAATCATCTTTCATTTCTCGCATCTACTTGCATCGTGCGTCATCTTTTTGCAGGAAATCTTCAAAATCGACATAAATCTTCCTTCTATCTACTCAGCGTGCGTGCAGTTAGCCACAGCAAAACACAATCTTTTCTGCATCGTAGATAGAGTCGCCCCCCTCGCTTCGTACTGCATCACGTCGGCTCCAGACACGGTCTGTGCCGAGCGTTTCTCTTTCAACACTTTCACTGCGTAGCACCGGTCCTTGGCGTTTAGCGGGGGGGATGAGCAAGGCACCTTTATCGGAACCCCCCCGGCGACGATGGTGACGAATCACCGGACCAACTACTCGCCGTAGATGATCCCGGAAGTCACCGCAGTGAGGACCGTGGGTGTTCGGGGATCCTTGGGGTTTAGCTGGGAAGCGGAAAAATCCTTGAAATTTAGCTTCCCTTGGCGGCGATCCGACACCCTTTGCTTCTGCTCACGAAACACGGCACTTTTCGGGAAAACGACGTCACTATCGCGCGACGATGCTGGGAATTATCCCTCCAGCGGACACACGCCACAAAAACGGCAATCCAACTCTCGTTTTTACTCAAACGGACCGGGCAAAAAACGCGTCAACTTATAACCGTGACTCGTAACTTTCTCCTTTTTCCGTACTAGCCGACAATCGCGGACAATACAACAACCGCCATCGTTCTCCTGCAACCGCGCTCGAATGTCATGCTGCTTATGTTTTTCGTCTTCTATTGCAGCGGGAGGAGAAACGGGACCTAATTTTATACTAAACGCCAGACAATCTAAATCGACAATTTTTACACTACATTCTAATCCTAAAAACATGCCTACGCGAATGAAATCTACTAGGAAAACAACAAATTAAAATATTTACAAACAAAGCAGTGGTGAGTATGTTCCGAGCGTGTGACCAAAACAAAAACAAATCATAACAGACAAAGCACACGCTCATGCCAAATACGTTAAAAGGGTGGGTTGTTAATTGTCACCCTAGACGAGGGTTACACAGTACACCGGTCTATGGCCATGCCTGGGATAGGCTCTCCTAGGCTCTTCATCAAAGAACGGCGTCCGCCAGCCTCGAACGCAGGAGGGACTCCCTCCTGCCACTCGCCTCTCACTTTGCCCCACACAGACTGTCGACTTCAGTTTGCCGGAGTGTTAGGTACCCCAGATGTTGGAGGAACCGATGCAGCACCAGCAGCAAAAACGGTTGTTGAGTGAAAGTGGCGGTAGCACCGGAATTTGATGCCGTTGATAGATGGCAGAAATGTTCTGCCCGTTGTTTTCCGGCACCCTTCTGCGGTCAAGCTATAAAGCATGAAATTAAGCCCGCCCACCAGCATCAAGGTGCGAAAACTAGCCAAGGGGAGGGAAGAATTTTTTAATGATTTTTCAGAAGCTAAATGTTGACGTCCATGGTTCACATAAGTTTCTAAATGGTTTTAATAATCTGTATTTTTTATCTAGATTGAAACAAAGAGAATAAACGCTACTCTAAGCAACAGTAACACTTTTTAATTTCTTTTTTATTCTGTTGTTAATTTAGAAAGGCACCAATGCATCAATTTGCTTCTGATTTTTTAATACTAGTTAAAATACGACCGCATATTTGAAATTCAAACTTCGAGATTAGTTTATATTCGGGGCCCCCAAAGATATTTGACGCCCACCCCTTCCTCAAATACTACATCCGACACTGCGTCTACTGTAATAGTAATAATTCAAGTACCTCTTTAAAAAGGCTTTGCGCTAGCATGTGCTACACAATATAAATAAAAAACGGATTACCACGCAGTAATACAGCCCAGTTTATCAAAGTTCTTTGGACAATCAGGAAAGTGATGAAACTTGAGGTGTCGATTTTGTGTGCCCTTGCACTTTTAGGTAACCTCGGAAAATATCTTGTGTCTATAGATCAAATTTACAACTTCTATATCATCGCCAGCTACGACCGTCAATGCAAAATATCTGATAAATTTCGTACGAGATGCCAAAGGAGACATGCGCTTGGTCAACCCGAATCCCTATAGCGTCATCGACACACACTTGGAACCGTTCTTCAACGCCGAAACCGACACCGTCTTCAGACTTTATACACGCAAAAATCCGAAGGAAGGACAAATATTGAAGCCAAACGAAACATCTTCGGTCAACAGTTCAAACTTCAATCCCCAACATCAAACCAGATTCCTTGTGCACGGGTGGATTCAGGACGGAAACTCAGAAATGCAGAGCTTGATTCGGAACAGTTACCTGGCGATTGGTGACTTCAATGTGATCAACGTCGATTGGGGCATGGGAGCACAAACCATCAATTATATCACTGCAAGGTATCGCGTCGCTTCTGTAGGATTAGTGATATCAAATATGATCGATACCCTTGTCAATGGCGCCGGAATTTCACTCGATACAATCTACGTAATTGGACACAGTTTGGGTGGTCACGTAGCCGGAGTTGTTGGAAAACATCAGAATGGTCGAATTAATTCAATTATCGGACTGGATCCGGCTGGTCCCCTGTTCTCTGCAGATAATGACGATGTACTCAGTGAAAAAGATGCGCAATATGTGGAAACCGTATTTACCAACGCTGGCCAGCTGGGATTCTACGGTTCGTTGGGCGGTGCTAACTTTTATGCTAATGGAGGATCTAGTCAACCGGGTTGCGGATTTGATCTTTTTGGGAGTTGTGCTCATGCGCGTGCTTGGAGCTATTTTGCCGAATCAGTGACGAGTAGTGTAGGTTTCCGCGCGACTCGATGTCAATCACACGATGACCTAGCAGCTGGCCAATGTGTTTCGAGTAGCTCTGACGGCGTGACGATGGGTGGTGAACCGTCCAATCATGGAAAGGGAGTGGAAGGATTTTACTTGATTTGTACCAACTCAGAGGAGCCCTATGCGAAGGGGTAGAATAGTTGTGAGTGTGTTTGTAGTTTGAGTATGGTTATTTACAGTAAGGGATTTTGAAAACCAACCAAGCGAGAAATGTTAGATTCTATTACAGATTTGCATAAAGAGTATATAGAATTTGTAATGTTTTTTTTTACTCTAAATTATCTTTACTTCTTGAATCCATGTGGATTACATGTATGAATTTTCAAGTGACATAGATGCGTCTTTTCAACATTAGTTCATTTGAAATTTAATAATTATTAGTTAAAGTTCCTAGTCCTATCAGGCCTGTTTTAGAGAATGTCCACCTTTGTGGGATTGGTTTATTTGGAATTGAAAAAAGGGATTTACAACTACAACTTATCTACTTCTACTATATATATACCTAACCTATAACAGTCAAGATTCCTATAGTATGGTTAATAGGGATCGCACAATAAGAACCGGCATTAACGAATACACGTAGCATATGGGATTAGAGCTTATTGGTAACAAACACTTATGGTAGAGTAATTTGAAGAGATAACTTCCTGGTGTCTTCTGAAAAGCTATTAACAAGATAGATGACCACCTTTTAGGAAAATTTCGCATCCGGAAAGTCACAAGTCTGGTCCTCCGGAGGACCCGAAGCATCCGTAAAAATGGTCAATTAAATAAACTGATCCTAGAGCTCCATGTTTTTTTTTTCGAAACCGCTCATAGACGTCTTATTACAATTAACTTTGAGTTATCACTGGTTTTTGGACGCTGGGGACTACAGGATGGTCCATCGGAAGATCAGGAACATCCGTAAAAGTGGCAAACTAATGAATCTGATCCTTTAGCTCCGTGGTTTGTTTCTAAACCACACATTGAAGTCTTATCAGAATTAATTTGGATTTGGGTCCGGAATATGAACCCTGTGGACCACGGGATTGTTCACCGGTAGATCCGGAACATCCGTAAAAGTGGTCAAGTCATTAAACTGGTCCTACAGCTCTGTGATTTTTCAAAGCTGACGTCAAATTAAAATCATAACTAATTTCACACGTGACGGAATCCATATTTGACATAAAGGATGAGACGTAAACAAACATGTCATGTAAAATTAAGTGCTCCGAGACTGAAAAGTTCAAAAGTAAGTTTGATTGAGCTGAATTTTGCGTCTATAATTACTCAATTTTATGATAAAATTAACGCTCGTATATGTCAGTCTCAGAGCACCTAAATCTACATATTTTTTTCTAAGTTTGTAGTCCACCAGGAAGATTCGGAATATCCATAAAAGTGTTCAGTTCTTGAAACTGAGTCTAAGATCCGTTTTTTTTTTTCAATACCATTCTTATCAGAATGAATTTGGAGTTATGACCAGAAAATGGTCCTCCAAAAGATCCGAAACATCCGTAAAATTGGTCAATTCATGAAACTGATCCTAGAGCTCCACAAATTTTATGAAATCACTCATAGACGTCTTATCGTAGTGAATTCGGAGTTGCGAACGGAATATGGTCGCTGGGGCAACGGAAAGATCCGGAAGATCCGTAAAAGTGGCAAATTAATGAATCTGATCATGGTTTTATCTAAACCTCTCATTGAATTCTTATCAGAATGAATTCGGATCTGTGACCGGAATATGAACCCTGTGGACCACGGGATGGTTCACCGGTAGATCCGAGACATCCGTAAAAGTGGTCAATTCATGAAACTGATCCTAGAGCTCTGTGTTTTTTTCGAAACCGGTCATAGACGTCTAATTACAATCAATTTGGAGTCATGATCAGAGTTTGGACTCAACGGACTACAGAATAGGACCACGAGATAGTCCACCAGGAAAATTTTAAATATCCATAAAAGTGTTCAGTTCTTGAAACAGAGCCTAGAGGTCCGTTTTTTTTTTTTGACGTAGAACTACGTCTTTGTCGACTATACTGGGGTGCAAAGCGAAAAATATGTGTGGTGAAGGAGTGTTAGGTTTTGAACGCTTGTAACTTTGTCATTTATATATGAAATAAAAATCTAAATACGCCAATCGATAGGATATTACATTACAAATCTGCTGAAATAAATATTTTTCCGATTTTTCTGTAATTAAACTTTTGAAAATGTACAAATGATAATTTTATCACTGTTTTCATGAAATAAGCCTTTTTCCCAAACCCAGTTATCATAATCGAATACCACTTGGTTGCACATCATTCTGCTTGAACATGAAAAGATATAAATCAGCGCTGCTCTCCTGCCTCTGCTCATTACCGCTTCGGACGGCGTGGCACTAGGTCCTGCAGAAAGCAGGACTAAGTCAGCGGCTAAAGGTGGATTACGCCGTGTCCACCACAATGAGGAATGAGACTTGAAAAAACGTGCATGCAAAACCCCCTCCCCCCTTAACAATAACCCGAAAAAGACATGGACTTTGACGATCATTTTTTCCGGGAAATAAATTTTAAGCAAACCACAATTATGTATAAACAATTATTTTCTTACATGCAGAGCCAACATTTTCAAAAAACAATTGCTTAACAGGGACATACACTCCAATTATTACCAACAACTGACTGTAAAACATATCTGGTACCTCTATATATGCAATTATATTAACATCCAATGTCCATCCTATTTTACATATTCTGCACAAAAGAAACTTTCGGCTCCGCCCCATTCATAAAAAACGCCAAGTAATCCTATCAGGTTCGGTTGCACATCGTTCTGCTTGATCCTGAAAAGATATAAAACAGCGCTGCTGTCGTGATTTTGCTCTCTCATCATTAGCTGCTTGAACGTCAAGCAGTACAGTTCGGTCTTTGCTCGCTCTGTCGAGTTGTTCAAAAGTTTCTAGTTTGTTCCAAACATTCGCAGTTTAATCGCGTCGCCAGTAGTGTCGGTCGCTTCGTGTGATGGGAAGACAGCGCTCCCGGAGCAGGCTCCGAGAGAAAACAGAGAAGAAGAACAGCGGTGAGGGTAGCTTGAGTGTACCTATTTCGAATAGGTACGCTACTCTTCCCACCGATGTAGGGAATCCCACCTCAGCCACGGTGAAGCGGTCTAAGAAGAGGAAGAAAAATCAAGGCCAGTCCGATGGTGCGAGTGGACGGGACGATGCCACCGCGACGAACGTCAGCGTCATTGGTGATTTCGGCGACGCCGTCGACAACGAAACTGCTGCCAGCCCGAGTGCAGCAAAAAGGAAGCTTCCTCCACTGGTGGTGAAGCAAGTCCCACTCAACACGCTGATTGGCGATCTTTCATCGCTGGGCGTTGCAGCTGAGTTTAAGCTCGGCAGGATCGGCACCAAGGTGATGCTCCGAACCAAAGCGGAGTACGAAGTGGCCGTGAAATATCTGAAGGATACCAAGGCGGAATTCTTCACGCACGACATTCCCGGTGAGAAGCCCTTCAAGGTAGTCATCAGGGGTCTACCAAACTTCGACCCCAAGATGGTCGAAGCCGAAATCAACCGGTACAAGCTAGCCCCAATCGCTGTCTTCCGAATGACAAGGAGAGATGAAAACGTGAAGACGTACCCGGATTGTCTTTTCCTGGTGCACTTCCAGAAAGGGACGGTGACGCTCAATGCGCTACAAGCCATCCGATCGATCTACTCCATCATCGTACGGTGGGAGCCATACCGTGGCGGTCATCGTGACGTAACGCAGTGTCAGAGGTGCCTCAATTTTGGACACGGTACCCGCAACTGCAACATCAAGCCACGCTGCAGCAACTGCGCTCAAGAACACGCCACTTCCAACTGCCCTGCGGATGGAGCCGTGGCGATAAAATGCGCTAACTGTGGTGGTGCACATCATGGTTCCGACAGACTGTGCTCCAAACGCGAGGACTTCAAACGCATCCGAAAGCAGGCGTCAAGCAACAATCAACCAGGACGCAAGAAGGACAAAACCCCAGCATTCAGGACGGAGGATTTTCCGCCTCTTCGTGCTCCCCAGCAAAGGCAAGCGAATTCGCGGGTGCAACCCGCCCCCCCTCAAGAAGCTTCCGGTGATTTTGCTGGCCAAAGCTCTCCATCCCCCCCTGGATTCTGGAGACAACCAACAGCGCAAAACAACAACCCCGATCTGTTCTCAGCGGATGAACTGATGGAAATTTTCGTCAACATGTCCGGTGCTCTTCGTAAGTGCCGCAATAAGCCCGAACAGATCCAGGTGCTCGGTAAGTTCATCATCCAGTATGGCGTCTAAACCGCTAACTATCGTCACCTGGAATGCTTGCTCTGTAAGAGCAAAAGAGATTGAGCTTGCCGACTTCCTCCGCAAGCACAGCATCGACGTGGGCCTTCTAACCGAGATCCATCTAAAGTCCGGCGACAGCTTCTGGTTGCCTGACCATAACATTATCCGGCTTGATCGCACCAGCTCCAGGGGGGGTGGTGTTGCGGTCGTCGTCAAGAAAGGAATAAAATACCACACTCTGTCCCATATCCGCACCTCTATCATCGAGGCCCTTGGTGTGGAGGTGGAGTCGTCGACTGGATACGTCAAGTTCATCGCCGTCTACTGCCCTCGACAGTGTGCCGCCAGAAGTGGACTAGCGGCAAAATTTAAGAAGGACCTGTCCACCATCACCCGTACCGGTTCCCGCTTCGTTGTTGGAGGAGATCTGAATGCTCGTCATGAGGCATGGCGGAACTACCAGCAGAACCAGAACGGTCGTCTGCTGTTCGACCATTCGCAGCATGGGCTGTACTCCGTTTGGTTCTCGGACGAGCCAACATTCATCTCACCGGCAGGCAACCCATCGACGCTAGACCTGTTTCTTTCAAATACCGGCTTGTCCAAGCCGGTAGCCTTAAACGAACTCAGCTCCGACCATCAACCGGTGGTGGCTGAACTGGGATACAACGTAGCTGCTGCTCCAAGCCTGCGCAAGGACTACCATCGCGTAAACTGGGCCCAGTTTGGACGCGTGGTAGACAGGCACATCATCGACAACCCGCCGCTTGACTCCGTGGAGGACATCGACCGAGCGTTGGAAGTACTCCACCAAGCCATAACCGTGGCTGACGAGGCGTGCGTCCGACGAGTTCCAGTGAGGGGTAAGTTTATTGCCATTGATTCCCACACCCAACTCTTAATTCGCCTGAGAAATGTTCGTAGACGCCAGTTTCAGAGGACTGGAGATCTAGCGAGGAAACGTGAAATGGCCAATCTGAACAAGGAGATTGCTTCCAGAATGGTCTCACTCCGGAACGAAAGTTTCGGGCGGCTTGTCCAGAATCTGGACGACCGCTCCAGACCATTCTGGAAAGTTGCCAAGGTCTTAAAGACGCACCCTAAACCCATTCCGCCACTAAAAGATGAAAATGATGACGATCGGCTCATAATCACCCCTCAGGAGAAAGCAAATGCGATTGGTGAGCATATTGCCAAATCGCACTTGCTTGGCTCCAACATCCAAAGTCCGCTTGAAGTTCAGGTTGAGCAATGCGCACTCAACCTTGATTCCTCCCCTTGTGCCATCCCTCCGGAGGATAGAATCACAGTGGAACAGATTTGCTCAGCGCTGAAATGCACCAAAAACATGAAGGCCCCCGGGTTTGACGGAATATTCAACCTAGTGTTGAAAAATCTCAGCATGAAGGTTCACTCTCTGCTGGCTGCTGTCTTCAACAGATGCTTGGAACTGCACTACTTTCCAAGTATCTGGAAGACAGCGAAAATCATACCTATCCGCAAACCCGGGAAGGACCCAACGCTAGCTTCAAGCTACAGACCAATCAGCCTCCTTTCAGCGCTGAGTAAATTGTTCGAGAAACTTATTCTCAATTGTTTGCTCAAGTTTGTCGAGGAAAATAACATTCTCCTTCCGGAACAGTTTGGGTTTAGAAAGGGGCACTCCACCAATCACCAGCTAGTGCGGGTGATGAATAACATCAGAAGTAACAAAGATGTATCCAAGTCCACAGCCATGGCATTGTTAGACGTTGAGAAAGCGTTTGATAATGTCTGGCACAATGGGCTTGTATACAAGCTTTGTAACTTCAACTTTCCATTACATCTGGTTAAAATCACCCGTAGCTACCTCCAGCAAAGGTCGTTTAAGGTATCGTTGAATGGTTGTCTTTCCGACATGTTTTCCATCCCAGCAGGAGTCCCGCAAGGCAGTCTGCTGGGACCCTTGCTTTACAGCATTTACACTTCCGACATTCCTCCCCTTGGAGACGGTTGCGTGTTTTTCCTGTTCGCAGATGATACCGCAATAGCCGTCAAAGGAAGGATGCCTCGCGAAATAACGAACAAACTTCAACGATGCCTTAACGCCTTTGCTGATTATGCCACCACGTGGAAAATCAAAATCAATGCTTCCAAAACACAAACAATCATGTTCCTCCATCGGCAATCACCCAAACTAAAACCGGCTCCCTCTTGTACTGTAATCATGGATGGCACAAGGGTTGAGTGGTCCGCCGAAGTAACCTATCTCGGGATGTTGTTTGACGAAAAGCTCCTATTCCGCTCGCATGTGGAGAAAACCGTAGTCAAGTGTTCCGCCTTGGTTAGGTGTCTGTATCCGCTGATTTGCCGCAGATCCCGCCTCTCAAGGGTGAACAAACTGGCCGTCTACAAACAAATCGTAGCACCTGCGATCCTCTACGCAGCTCCGGTGTGGGAATCATGTGCACAGACTCACAGGAACAAAATTCAGGTCGCTCAGAATAGAGTGCTGAGGATGATTCTTGATCGTCCTTTCGACACTAGAATAACAAATTTACATGAAGAGGCAGGCATTGCCAAAATAGATTCCAAAATTAACGAAATTAAGACTAAATTTACACAAAAATGTAATTTATCAGAACATGCTTTGATAAGCAATTTGTATATAGTAGGTTAGGTGTATATAGTAGTTGTAGGTTAGTTGTAGTTGTAAATAGTAGTTATAAGTAGTCTCCTTTTTCAAATTTAAAACAAACCAATCCCACCAAGGTGGTCATACTTTAAAATAGGCCTGATAGGACTAGGAACTGTAAATAATATTTAAAATCTCAAATGTACCAAAGTTGAAAAGACGAATCTGTGTCACTTAACA